TCTTATATACCGTAAATAAAATATATCTTTCTTTAACTATATACTTTCCACGAACTGCCCTTAGTGAAGTAACATTCCACTTCCACACTGCTATAATCTCGCAACAGAGCTCTATAGCTGTGTGCTTTGTTATTTGTGCTGTATTAAGAAGGCTACAGTCCACTTGTAACAACAGCTTTATTTAATAAATATATCACTAATAACAAAATATTTAGACAATAAAAAGAAAGCAAAATCTTTACAATCTCTAAAAACTTATCTTTGTTAATAATCTAATTAATACCAGCTCTATAAGCCTACTAGAGCATATCAAAAAATATATATCAAATTATTAACTAGTTAGTTTAGCTATATATTCACCAAATATAAAATTCTTTTATCATATAATTATATTATATTATTTAAAAATAGTATTAATATTTCTATACTTATTCTTAATAATATTATTAAAGATAAATTTTGCAACTTCAAACAGCTTTTATTAATATTTCAGAATATGAGCAAAGTATATAATTCTGTTTTTATAAAATCTCTTTTGCAGTTATATATACTCTCGCAACTCATTAATATACTTATTGTGATGACTAATGCTGAATTTGGCTGATGTTGAATATCACATGAAAATTCGGACCTGAAATTGCAAATCGTATGTCAATCAGAGAAAAATCAAAACAAACCCTAACCAATGACAAAGTCCTTCAAGTTCATTTGTGTTAGGGTTATCGTCTATATTAACATTAGAGTTTAGTAGATTATACAGTAAAATCGCTCAAAGAAAACTTTTAGTTAGTATACAAAGTGTTGTTTTTTATAAATATTTTTAAGAAATCAGTGATTTTTACAAAGAAATGTTTGTTTTGAATTTTTATGATCGATATGTGATCTGCAATTTTTGGTCCAAATTCTCACATAATATTCAGCATCAGCTGTAACACTTATTGATTTACTTCTAATTACTATAATAACTAATCTAAGACTTACTAATACTTACTAAGTTCAAAATAATATTAATTAAAAAGAAACAATAATTTTTTTATTATAAAAGATTTATAGTTGTCCTTATAATCACACAATTGGACACATAGTGTGCTTATAAAGAAGTAGTGCTTATATGAAAAGTTATTTTTTATAAATTAAATCATAGCTTAGCCTAAATATAAATATAATTATATATGATGTGATTATATGGAAGGTAACTATATAGAGAGATAACTATTCTATAATTTACTAACTAACAAAGTTACTTCTAGTTTTATTAGATGTATTTTATTAATCAAATACAAACAGGTTTATATTCTACAATTAACTAATAACTTTGTATCTCAATATTTGTATTAGTTTATATAGATGATATACTATAGATAACTTAATTTAACAACAAAATAGAACAACTTATACAAACTATAAAATTATTTTACTAAATAGCTATCTTCAAGTTAATCTATCCAATTCAGTATTTATTATAAATTCTATACTAATTACAATATCTTTTATTAACTTAATATTTACTTCAATTCCAATTAATAAACCTTCAAATATCTTGAATACTGGTTTATACTAAGCAATAAACAAGCAGAACAAATTAAACTTATATAACAAGAATATACCAACTCATTTATATTGCAAATACTAAGAAAATTACAAATAAACATATAGTTTATATTATTAATACTATTATAATACCAACTTTAGAATATACAGTATATTACACAATATAGTACTATTCTGTATTATATATAATATTATTTGACAAACTCTTATGATCATGAATTTATTTCTGTTTATTATTTTTTCATGTTACTGTTACTGACAAAACCACATGCAAAAGAATCTAAGAATCATGTAGAATTCTGCATGATAGAAGCACAAAATCATTACGCAAGCACTGTCATACTGCAGTGTCCTGGGACCCAAAATTACACCATGACTATCATATGCAAGAAACCTGCCCAAGCCAAATCCTACATAATGAAGCATCGAAACATCAATTGTATGAAAGCCAAGCCCCATCAACAATTCCATTGAAGCAGAAGACACTTACATAATTCAGTATGACAGCTGTCAAGGTAATATTACCTTGTCGAGTAAGATGTGTAGCTGTAAATGATAAAAGCACATAAATCGATGGAAGAGTCAATGAGATGGATGAGTAAATTGACAGGTAAAGAACAATGATAGTGCGAAAGCCTTTATTCGACTTACCTTCTTTTTGCCTTCTTTCCATTCCATCAAACGTTTCAATGAAAATGGCTGTGAGAAAGGGGTTGGAATTGATAAAAAAGTGTTATATGGTGTGAGTTCAATGATGATTCAATGAAAGAAGGTGGGAAAAACACCCAATCTTGTTCTTTTTCTTACCATGTAAATTTGTTATAAATAAGAAGCCAAATTCCTCTTGTTCAAGATAGAAGTGTGTGTACAATCTGCCCTATTCAATAAAATTGTTAATAAAAGCCCTTTAATAAACATAAGTTACAACATTCATTTAAAAGTGCATTAAAATACTTACCTAACGATACTCAGTAGATGCCTTTGACCTGTGCCAAATCAATTTCCGCCTCACCATTCTACTAAGCGTTGTTAGTCGACCTTGCTCTATTCCAAACGCCAGATCATCGTTTTCGTCTTTCTTGTTGGAGGTGAGGTTTTGGTCGATTCGCCTCTGACATTACGAAATATTCATGTTTACTCGAATTAAAACTCAGCTGATGACTCCCTACCAATCATGATCATAAATTGTCGGATAACACCATTATTCGGCAAATTTCTGTTATTTAAAGATTTTTGCCGAATAATCTATACATATTCTAGCTAAATATCATACTGTTGCAAAACATAAATCACACCTGTTTAGATCTATTCCTAATAGTATTATGCTTAATTCATACCTATATTATATCTATAATATCTGGGATATACAATTATACTATATTACGATATGTAAACTTAATCACGTTTAATTCGTGCATGTGAATGCTTAATCGGAAAACAGGTTGAGATAATAACGATACCGATAATAATATTATAAATAATTCGTGTAACATTGGCGCATAAGCATATATACATGTGATGTAGATATCGATATGATAAAATTTGATCTTGCTATAAACTCTTCAGATTCTAAATGGATGAGTACAAGGTTAATGTTGGTGGTAGAATTTTCAATTTGTCTATTGATAGGTAAGTAGTAAATATAAAATCATTATCATAACAGGATTAGAGGTCTAAAAATAAGTATATGTTTTTTTTTCAGTTTAACGCGTGATTCACCAAATCTTTTGACCGAACAATTATTGTCAGAATCTCAAGATGAAAATGAAATCTTTTTTGATCGTGATCCGGATGTATTCGAGTTTATAGCAAAATATCTTAGAGGATATAACATCTTTCCATTAACAAAAGAAGATTTACCTGTGGGTTGGAATCTGCTTAATTTTATACAATGCTTAACGCAAGATGCGTGTTTTTTCAAACTTAGAGGACTTTTCATTTCCATTCGTCCATTTTATTACTTTGGTATGAGCCCCTCTGCCATAGACATTTTTTCTCGTGAAGAAAAGATAGTTGTCAATTTGCAAAAAGTCGATCCCACCAACTTTCATATTGAAAATGATAATGTCATGCACATTGTTCAAGGTCAACCCGTTAAAGCAGAATTTTTTACTGGGAATTTGGCTTGGGATTTGATTTCAGATAATAATTGGGAATTTAAATTTCTCAATAACTTGGATAATGTGATGGTTAAGAGAATCTCCAAAGAGATTCGACCTCAGGCTAATCCAGATGTTGAATATTATCCTGGTGAATCGGATGGGGCTTTTTTTTCCATTGATGATATTGAGATGAATGGAAGTAATGTTTATGATCATACTGTGGAAAGATCTTTTCCGCTTCAACAAACGAATCGACCTTTTTCTTGTGTAAGAATATGGTTAAAAAAGTTGGTGTTTTCGTTTCGAATACCAAGTGATCCGGATAAGCCACTGATCATAGTGCCTATATGGGGTATCGGGCTTACACAAATTTATCACAAGTCTTTGAAGTATGCAAAGTTTTTCTAATTGGTAGGTCTCTTATTATAGTATGAAATATAATTATCGTGTAATTCATATAACCTTATCATTTTACTAATTTCTTAAACCGTTTGTATTTTATTCACATATGATCACATAGAAATTAGATTAATTCAATCATTATTTGAAATAAGATAATTAGCTCTGATGTAGAAATGAAAAAATTTTTAATTTGGAATCTGTTTATGAAGAATCATGCAGCCTAATAAATCGTTGGATCTTTTATTATCTAATTTTTTTTTAATGCAATTTAGTTTAATTAATCATTGGTAAAAATCTACTATATTCGAAAATTCTATTCAAGAGTAAATTATCAGCCAAGATTTTAATAATCAGAATTAAATTTCATTATTATTTACTAGTTGTTCTATTCTTTTGAAAATGCTCGTTGGCAATCCTACGACATTATAATAACATCTACCATTTGGAAATTAAAAGGAAATATCTTAAAATCAAAAGAATCAGATGAGCAGTAATAAAATGTTAATTTTATACGAACTTTACCCATTAATCTTTTCAATAAATAAGCTACCAAATGCTTGAATTCCGTATGATCCTTTTAGTTAATATAATTACACATCCAGGAGGAATAATGAAAAAAAGATTTAATTTGTTAGTATTTCAATTATTATAAGTCTTTAGCCAAATTTTTAATGCTCTTTGAATTTTATATACCAGCTTTATCCAGAGGTTCTCCAGTATCAATATAAGCCAAAAAATCGTCATCACTGTTATTTCTAAATACAACTTCGGTATTTTCAATTAATGTTGAAATTGCATAATCAGATTCATTCTTAGGGTAAACTAATGCTATTCCAGTGTAAACACAATGCGAATTTCCATTTAATTTTCGAAGCATATTTAGTGCATCTTTTTTATCTTTTGGTTTTTCTAATATTTCTCCATCATAAACGACTATAGTATCTGCAGCAATCACTAGATCTACTTTTTGGCCTTCTTCCTTTATAAATTGGATAAAAAAATTGTTTTAAGAAAATTCTTAATATTAAATAACATAAAATTGAATAATGATGATTACTCACTAATAAACGTTTATATACTTCTAATCCTTTCTCTTTCGCGTTAGTTACAACATAGTTTAAAGGTGTATATTTTGATTTATCCAAAGTTTCAGGAAATTTGCTTGGCACAACGTCAAAATTCAATCCCTAAAACCAACCATTTTCCATCATCAAAAGGAAAAATCAATGATCATTATTAATTATTGTCTTTAGGCAATACATTATTAATACCATATTTGAAAGAATTTCTTTTCTTCGTGGTGACCCTGATGCAAGAACAATATATTTATCCTTAAGTTTTTGCAGAAATGGAAATGCCATTTTGTTATAAAAATTAGAGAATAATGTTCTGAGTGTAATTACTTTAAGTTACGTTGCACAACGCGGCTTTTTATCTTACCAAATTTAGTACATGTGTACTTGTTGCAGTCTGCGAACTTTTATTACGCTGGGAAATATTAAATAAAAATTTATTACGAAAATAAAAAAAAAAGACAATTTATCGCCCAACTTATATGTCCTGCTTATTAATATCAATTCTATATGCATAGCTTAAATTATCCACCTTCTTCATCAAAACTTAAATGTGTTTTTTTGGTTTTTTTAGGTCTAGGTTTTTTATCCGTACTAACTGATGTATCAATTTCTTTTTTACTATCTTTTTTATTATCTCTTTTACGTTTCATTCCGTCAATAACTTCGTTAACAGCTTTTATAGATGTGTCAGATTTACTAGTTTTAGTCTTTGATGAACCAACAACTGTATCTAATTTATTATCTGTTGTTTGTTTTGCTATATCTTTCTTTTTTGGATGGCGAAAAAGAAGTTTTCCGGTTTTCTCATCAAAAGCTGGTGAATCTTCTTGAATTTCCTCTTCTTCTGATAAACATTCTTTAAAAGAAAAAAAATTTTTTTTCTTAAGTCGTTCAAATAACTAATGATAGTAATTAAATAAGAAAACGGAAACCTTTTTTTTTGTCTTTCTCCTTTGATGCCAAAATTTTCTTCACTTCTTGTTCACTCAAATGTTTTCCTTCTTTTAAAACAACAATTTGTGGTCTTTCGTCTTCTTTATTAGCATTTATTTCATCTATTTCATCCGATGATTCATTATCATCGTCTTCTTGTTCAAGATTTGTCTCTTTGTTTGGTTGGGTTAAACCTCGTAAAAAAGGTGGTACCTAAAAAAAAATAATGGCCAATTTCTTTCTTAAAAATACATGTTCTTATGATTCATTTGACTGTTCAATTCATACCGGAGCGTCGTATGTTAATCCCCGTGAAAATTGATACGGAGTCATCTTCTTTGGTGGCATATTTAAGAAATTCGAAAGAAAGATAGTGCGGATCCACAAATTCGGTCAATCATTTTATAGTCCAATTATATTTATGCCGCAGTTGAAACTGAACTTCATTTGTAGAAGTGATTCGGTAATCTCGGAAAAATAGCTTTATTGTGATAACTATTTAAATAATGTATTAGATAAGAGTATTTGTGACTGACGACGTCCTAAAGGTTACCCAATCAAATCTCGAAATACAATGAATTTGTCCATATGGTTTCCGATTTGATTATCACGAATCTCACGCTGATTGGTTGATTTATTTAAACATACTAGTAAAATTTGGTATCCATAAAAATAACATAACTTTCCTTACAAACTATATTACACTTAGAAATTTTATATTTACATTCACCAAGACCTTAAATTTCTGGATCCAAAAATCTCATTTCTGGATCCAAAATAGGCGCGACTTTTACTAGGGACAATGCCGAAGGGTAGACCACGTAAAAATAAAGGGCCATGTGTAGTATGTGGCACTGAAGAAGGTTTCGCGTACTGACGTCAGAACTTCTGCCTAAAGCTATTCAAAGTCCAGCGGCTCTGGATTTAAAGGTGGAACTTAGTTTAAACGACAACTATGTCATAAACATTATGTTGAACTGATAGCATTCGATAGACACTCAAGCCCGAATAAAAAGCAAAAACGATTAAATTCAGTTTACAATGTTCAAAAAGCATACTGAAAACTTAAGTTCTAACAAACAATTCGATACTGGAAGTTGTTACTAAAGCGACATAGATGAAGAAAGGGCATTTGAATGGTTTTCGAAGTGAGAACTTTGATGGACGACTAAGTGTTGAAAATTTTTACCAGAATAGACCAGATATTCGTGAAAATGAAAAAAAAAGCATTTGAATGCTGCTAAGGCAGAAATTCCAATGGACAATTAAGGATAGGGTGTCCATAGATCATTTTTATATGATCTATGTGGCAAATTAAAATTTTACATAGATTGCAAAATTCATCTCTAATAAAATTTTTAGAATTGTGTCTAATATTCACTAAATTTTTGCAGCATTTAATTTGGGATCTCTTATTTATAGCAGTAAAATTATGAACACTATATCTTTTAACTTCGTATATTGGTAAAACTTTAGGTAACTGCAAATTTTCTTAGGTTGCACAAGAATAACTAATTCTAATTGGTCGAATCCATTGTTTTAATAATTTTGATTGGTCAATCACATGATTTCCTATGTAAATTTTAATTTGCCATGTAGATCATATGAAAAATGATCTATGGACACCCTACCCTTAATTGTTGAAAATTGCTATCAGCATGGAAAAGTAATTTCAAAAATGAGACAAAGGCATTTGAATAGTATTTAATATCTGCTAGTTGTAGAAATTCTAACAGTATTAAATGTTGAAAATTGTTATTAAAATAGAATAGACATTTCTAAAGATAAAAAAAGAGCATTTGAATGGTATTTGAAATCCACTAAAGGTGAAATTTCTGATGAACAATTAAGTGCTATCAAAATGGAATAGGCATTTATAAAGATAAAAAAAAGCATTTAAAATCTGCTGATAGCAGAAATTCAAATGAATAATTAAGTGTTAAAAGTGTTGTTAGAATGAAATACGCATTTCTAAATATAAAGACAAGGTAATTAAATAGTACTTGAAGTCTGGTAGTTGTAGAAACCCAGATGAGCAACCTACAATACTTAATGAAAAGAATACTAAAAAAATAACCATTTTTAAGTATACAATTAACATCAGAGCAATATAAATGGCTTGTTACTCTTAGAAAAGACTCTGAAAAAAAATTTTTAATACTATTAACACAACATTAATTGGTTATAAAAAATAAACAGCCTGTTGTTTATATACATAGTGTTTAATTAAACATTAATAATGAAGTTGTCAAATTAAATTATTAACTACAGTCAAACCCCCCTAAATGCTACCCCCCTAAGTGCACGTCCTATGAAGCACCTCCCTAAATGCACGTCTTCTCTTGGGCCCAACTAATATTACATCTATAGATTTTTACCTCCCTAAATGCAATACCTCTCTAAGTGCACGTTTGACTAAATTTTTGTATATGGTCCCGTCGCATTGCATTTAGGGAGGTCTGACTGTACCTGGCTATAATTACACTCTTGAGTCAAAAAAAAAAAAGGTAAATATAATAACAGTTATGGATTTACAAGTTACAATTTTCTATCACCAATGAGAAATAAGCAGAGTTTGAACCTTTATTGCAGATGAACTACTACATGCCAATAAAGATTCTTAGTTCATAATATTTTTAACCTAAAATATTCATATTGAATATTCAAAATGTCCAACTATAATAGAGTTAATAGAATTGAAATTTCTTTTAATCCAAAAATTTGCTATACTCGAGATGACATGGATGCGTTCTATTTGATAAAGCAATTATATTTAAAATATTTTGCATATGTATATAAATTTTGATTATACTTCGTTAAACACACACATGTGAAGCGAATGTTTATCAAAATCAGTATAAATACTTTTTTTAAAATTACTAGTATATAATCCGTGCCTCTGGCACGTAGATTGTATAAAATGTATGAGCTTCCCGAGTTATATAATAATTTAAATATTTTGAAAATTCGCTTATTAGTATTTGATATAGTAACAATAAACACTATAATTTAATTATTCGGAATGGTATATATGTTGTGCCTCAGATTAACGCTTGCATTAGATGTCATTTTGCCTGAGTATAATTGCTACCCTAATAGTGGTGATGGTAAGTAAAGGTACAGTGATATGGTTTTATATTACACTTGAATTGTCTATAATACTACAATAAGCAAAGATTGACATAAAATGTTACTATATCATTGATCAACATCTTATATATAATACGCGAGCCAATCAAACTACTTGTTTATCTCCTATGTTTTATCACACCATAGCTCCTTAATATTTTATAGATAGATATTGACTACAAAATGGCCTATGCCGTTTTCTAATTTAAAATAAAATACATTGGAAAACTTTTTTTAGAGTATATATCGATTGCAATCCCCTAGTTTCTTATCGATATATATCACCTCTGCTGGGTTATATCGATTATAATATATAATGATATATAGCAAAAATTCGTTAAATTTTGTCAAACTTTGACATGGATTTTCTCGATAACTATCAATTGAAATTAGTTGAAATTTTTACTGTAGATAGTAATTGTATTTAACTATAATATATAAAATTTTCATCCAAGTATAATTACTAGTTCACAAGAAATCGCTTGTATACGATAGATAATTTTTTTAAAAAAATTATCTATCGTATACAAGCGATTTCTTGTGAACTAGTAATTATACTTGGATGAAAATTTTATATATTATAGTTAAATACAATTACTATCTACAGTAAAAATTTCAACTAATTTCAATTGATAGTTATCGAGAAAATCCATGTCAAAGTTTGACAAAATTTAACGAATTTTTGCTATATATCATTATATATTATAATCGATATAACCCAGCAGAGGTGATATATATCGATAAGAAACTAGGGGATTGCAATCGATATATACTCTAAAAAAAGTTTTCCAATGTATTTTATTTTAAATTAGAAAACGGCATAGGCCATTTTGTAGTCAATATCTATCTATAAAATATTAAGGAGCTATGGTGTGATAAAACATAGGAGATAAACAAGTAGTTTGATTGGCTCGCGTATTATATATAAGATGTTGATCAATGATATAGTAACATTTTATGTCAATCTTTGCTTATTGTAGTATTATAGACAATTCAAGTGTAATATAAAACCATATCACTGTACCTTTACTTACCATCACCACTATTAGGGTAGCAATTATACTCAGGCAAAATGACATCTAATGCAAGCGTTAATCTGAGGCACAACATATATACCATTCCGAATAATTAAATTATAGTGTTTATTGTTACTATATCAAATACTAATAAGCGAATTTTCAAAATATTTAAATTATTATATAACTCGGGAAGCTCATACATTTTATACAATCTACGTGCCAGAGGCACGGATTATATACTAGTAATTTTAAAAAAAGTATTTATACTGATTTTGATAAACATTCGCTTCACATGTGTGTGTTTAACGAAGTATAATCAAAATTTATATACATATGCAAAATATTTTAAATATAATTGCTTTATCAAATAGAACGCATCCATGTCATCTCGAGTATAGCAAATTTTTGGATTAAAAGAAATTTCAATTCTATTAACTCTATTATAGTTGGACATTTTGAATATTCAATATGAATATTTTAGGTTAAAAATATTATGAACTAAGAATCTTTATTGGCATGTAGTAGTTCATCTGCAATAAAGGTTCAAACTCTGCTTATTTCTCATTGGTGATAGAAAATTGTAACTTGTAAATCCATAACTGTTATTATATTTACCTTTTTTTTTTTTGACTCAAGAGTGTAATTATAGCCAGGTACAGTCAGACCTCCCTAAATGCAATGCGACGGGACCATATACAAAAATTTAGTCAAACGTGCACTTAGAGAGGTATTGCATTTAGGGAGGTAAAAATCTATAGATGTAATATTAGTTGGGCCCAAGAGAAGACGTGCATTTAGGGAGGTGCTTCATAGGACGTGCACTTAGGGGGGTAGCATTTAGGGGGGTTTGACTGTAGTTAATAATTTAATTTGACAACTTCATTATTAATGTTTAATTAAACACTATGTATATAAACAACAGGCTGTTTATTTTTTATAACCAATTAATGTTGTGTTAATAGTATTAAAAATTTTTTTTCAGAGTCTTTTCTAAGAGTAACAAGCCATTTATATTGCTCTGATGTTAATTGTATACTTAAAAATGGTTATTTTTTTAGTATTCTTTTCATTAAGTATTGTAGGTTGCTCATCTGGGTTTCTACAACTACCAGACTTCAAGTACTATTTAATTACCTTGTCTTTATATTTAGAAATGCGTATTTCATTCTAACAACACTTTTAACACTTAATTATTCATTTGAATTTCTGCTATCAGCAGATTTTAAATGCTTTTTTTTATCTTTATAAATGCCTATTCCATTTTGATAGCACTTAATTGTTCATCAGAAATTTCACCTTTAGTGGATTTCAAATACCATTCAAATGCTCTTTTTTTATCTTTAGAAATGTCTATTCTATTTTAATAACAATTTTCAACATTTAATACTGTTAGAATTTCTACAACTAGCAGATATTAAATACTATTCAAATGCCTTTGTCTCATTTTTGAAATTACTTTTCCATGCTGATAGCAATTTTCAACAATTAAGGGTAGGGTGTCCATAGATCATTTTTCATATGATCTACATGGCAAATTAAAATTTACATAGGAAATCATGTGATTGACCAATCAAAATTATTAAAACAATGGATTCGACCAATTAGAATTAGTTATTCTTGTGCAACCTAAGAAAATTTGCAGTTACCTAAAGTTTTACCAATATACGAAGTTAAAAGATATAGTGTTCATAATTTTACTGCTATAAATAAGAGATCCCAAATTAAATGCTGCAAAAATTTAGTGAATATTAGACACAATTCTAAAAATTTTATTAGAGATGAATTTTGCAATCTATGTAAAATTTTAATTTGCCACATAGATCATATAAAAATGATCTATGGACACCCTATCCTTAATTGTCCATTGGAATTTCTGCCTTAGCAGCATTCAAATGCTTTTTTTTTCATTTTCACGAATATCTGGTCTATTCTGGTAAAAATTTTCAACACTTAGTCGTCCATCAAAGTTCTCACTTCGAAAACCATTCAAATGCCCTTTCTTCATCTATGTCGCTTTAGTAACAACTTCCAGTATCGAATTGTTTGTTAGAACTTAAGTTTTCAGTATGCTTTTTGAACATTGTAAACTGAATTTAATCGTTTTTGCTTTTTATTCGGGCTTGAGTGTCTATCGAATGCTATCAGTTCAACATAATGTTTATGACATAGTTGTCGTTTAAACTAAGTTCCACCTTTAAATCCAGAGCCGCTGGACTTTGAATAGCTTTAGGCAGAAGTTCTGACGTCAGTACGCGAAACCTTCTTCAGTGCCACATACTACACATGGCCCTTTATTTTTACGTGGTCTACCCTTCGGCATTGTCCCTAGTAAAAGTCGCGCCTATTTTGGATCCAGAAATGAGATTTTTGGATCCAGAAATTTAAGGTCTTGGTGAATGTAAATATAAAATTTCTAAGTGTAATATAGTTTGTAAGGAAAGTTATGTTATTTTTATGGATACCAAATTTTACTAGTATGTTTAAATAAATCAACCAATCAGCGTGAGATTCGTGATAATCAAATCGGAAACCATATGGACAAATTCATTGTATTTCGAGATTTGATTGGGTAACCTTTAGGACGTCGTCAGTCACAAATACTCTTATCTAATACATTATTTAAATAGTTATCACAATAAAGCTATTTTTCCGAGATTACCGAATCACTTCTACAAATGAAGTTCAGTTTCAACTGCGGCATAAATATAATTGGACTATAAAATGATTGACCGAATTTGTGGATCCGCACTATCTTTCTTTCGAATTTCTTAAATATGCCACCAAAGAAGATGACTCCGTATCAATTTTCACGGGGATTAACATACGACGCTCCGGTATGAATTGAACAGTCAAATGAATCATAAGAACATGTATTTTTAAGAAAGAAATTGGCCATTATTTTTTTTTAGGTACCACCTTTTTTACGAGGTTTAACCCAACCAAACAAAGAGACAAATCTTGAACAAGAAGACGATGATAATGAATCATCGGATGAAATAGATGAAATAAATGCTAATAAAGAAGACGAAAGACCACAAATTGTTGTTTTAAAAGAAGGAAAACATTTGAGTGAACAAGAAGTGAAGAAAATTTTGGCATCAAAGGAGAAAGACAAAAAAAAAGGTTTCCGTTTTCTTATTTAATTACTATCATTAGTTATTTGAACGACTTAAGAAAAAAAATTTTTTTTCTTTTAAAGAATGTTTATCAGAAGAAGAGGAAATTCAAGAAGATTCACCAGCTTTTGATGAGAAAACCGGAAAACTTCTTTTTCGCCATCCAAAAAAGAAAGATATAGCAAAACAAACAACAGATAATAAATTAGATACAGTTGTTGGTTCATCAAAGACTAAAACTAGTAAATCTGACACATCTATAAAAGCTGTTAACGAAGTTATTGACGGAATGAAACGTAAAAGAGATAATAAAAAAGATAGTAAAAAAGAAATTGATACATCAGTTAGTACGGATAAAAAACCTAGACCTAAAAAAACCAAAAAAACACATTTAAGTTTTGATGAAGAAGGTGGATAATTTAAGCTATGCATATAGAATTGATATTAATAAGCAGGACATATAAGTTGGGCGATAAATTGTCTTTTTTTTTTATTTTCGTAATAAATTTTTATTTAATATTTCCCAGCGTAATAAAAGTTCGCAGACTGCAACAAGTACACATGTACTAAATTTGGTAAGATAAAAAGCCGCGTTGTGCAACGTAACTTAAAGTAATTACACTCAGAACATTATTCTCTAATTTTTATAACAAAATGGCATTTCCATTTCTGCAAAAACTTAAGGATAAATATATTGTTCTTGCATCAGGGTCACCACGAAGAAAAGAAATTCTTTCAAATATGGTATTAATAATGTATTGCCTAAAGACAATAATTAATAATGATCATTGATTTTTCCTTTTGATGATGGAAAATGGTTGGTTTTAGGGATTGAATTTTGACGTTGTGCCAAGCAAATTTCCTGAAACTTTGGATAAATCAAAATATACACCTTTAAACTATGTTGTAACTAACGCGAAAGAGAAAGGATTAGAAGTATATAAACGTTTATTAGTGAGTAATCATCATTATTCAATTTTATGTTATTTAATATTAAGAATTTTCTTAAAACAATTTTTTTATCCAATTTATAAAGGAAGAAGGCCAAAAAGTAGATCTAGTGATTGCTGCAGATACTATAGTCGTTTATGATGGAGAAATATTAGAAAAACCAAAAGATAAAAAAGATGCACTAAATATGCTTCGAAAATTAAATGGAAATTCGCATTGTGTTTACACTGGAATAGCATTAGTTTACCCTAAGAATGAATCTGATTATGCAATTTCAACATTAATTGAAAATACCGAAGTTGTATTTAGAAATAACAGTGATGACGATTTTTTGGCTTATATTGATACTGGAGAACCTCTGGATAAAGCTGGTATATAAAATTCAAAGAGCATTAAAAATTTGGCTAAAGACTTATAATAATTGAAATACTAACAAATTAAATCTTTTTTTCATTATTCCTCCTGGATGTGTAATTATATTAACTAAAAGGATCATACGGAATTCAAGCATTTGGTAGCTTATTTATTGAAAAGATTAATGGGTAAAGTTCGTATAAAATTAACATTTTATTACTGCTCATCTGATTCTTTTGATTTTAAGATATTTCCTTTTAATTTCCAAATGGTAGATGTTATTATAATGTCGTAGGATTGCCAACGAGCATTTTCAAAAGAATAGAACAACTAGTAAATAATAATGAAATTTAATTCTGATTATTAAAATCTTGGCTGATAATTTACTCTTGAATAGAATTTTCGAATATAGTAGATTTTTACCAATGATTAATTAAACTAAATTGCATTAAAAAAAAATTAGATAATAAAAGATCCAACGATTTATTAGGCTGCATGATTCTTCATAAACAGATTCCAAATTAAAAATTTTTTCATTTCTACATCAGAGCTAATTATCTTATTTCAAATAATGATTGAATTAATCTAATTTCTATGTGATCATATGTGAATAAAATACAAACGGTTTAAGAAATTAGTAAAATGATAAGGTTATATGAATTACACGATAATTATATTTCATACTATAATAAGAGACCTACCAATTAGAAAAACTTTGCATACTTCAAAGACTTGTGATAAATTTGTGTAAGCCCGATACCCCATATAGGCACTATGATCAGTGGCTTATCCGGATCACTTGGTATTCGAAACGAAAACACCAACTTTTTTAACCATATTCTTACACAAGAAAAAGGTCGATTCGTTTGTTGAAGCGGAAAAGATCTTTCCACAGTATGATCATAAACATTACTTCCATTCATCTCAATATCATCAATGGAAAAAAAAGCCCCATCCGATTCACCAGGATAATATTCAACATCTGGATTAGCCTGAGGTCGAATCTCTTTGGAGATTCTCTTAACCATCACATTATCCAAGTTATTGAGAAATTTAAATTCCCAATTATTATCTGAAATCAAATCCCAAGCCAAATTCCCAGTAAAAAATTCTGCTTTAACGGGTTGACCTTGAACAATGTGCATGACATTATCATTTTCAATATGAAAGTTGGTGGGATCGACTTTTTGCAAATTGACAACTATCTTTTCTTCACGAGAAAAAATGTCTATGGCAGAGGGGCTCATACCAAAGTAATAAAATGGACGAATGGAAATGAAAAGTCCTCTAAGTTTGAAAAAACACGCATCTTGCGTTAAGCATTGTATAAAATTAAGCAGATTCCAACCCACAGGTAAATCTTCTTTTGTTAATGGAAAGATGTTATATCCTCTAAGATATTTTGCTATAAACTCGAATACATCCGGATCACGATCAAAAAAGATTTCATTTTCATCTTGAGATTCTGACAATAATTGTTCGGTCAAAAGATTTGGTGAATCACGCGTTAAACTGAAAAAAAAACATATACTTATTTTTAGACCTCTAATCCTGTTATGATAATGATTTTATATTTACTACTTACCTATCAATAGACAAATTGAAAATTCTACCACCAACATTAACCTTGTACTCATCCATTTAGAATCTGAAGAGTTTATAGCAAGATCAAATTTTATCATATCGATATCTACATCACATGTATATATGCTTATGCGCCAATGTTACACGAATTATTTATAATATTATTATCGGTATCGTTATTATCTCAACCTGTTTTCCGATTAAGCATTCACATGCACGAATTAAACGTGATTAAGTTTACATATCGTAATATAGTATAATTGTATATCCCAGATATTATAGATATAATATAGGTATGAATTAAGCATAATACTATTAGGAATAGATCTAAACAGGTGTGATTTATGTTTTGCAACAGTATGATATTTAGCTAGAATATGTATAGATTATTCGGCAAAAATCTTTAAATAACAGAAATTTGCCGAATAATGGTGTTATCCGACAATTTATGATCATGATTGGTAGGGAGTCATCAGCTGAGTTTTAATTCGAGTAAACATGAATATTTCGTAATGTCAGAGGCGAATCGACCAAAACCTCACCTCCAACAAGAAAGACGAAAACGATGATCTGGCGTTTGGAATAGAGCAAGGTCGACTAACAACGCTTAGTAGAATGGTGAGGCGGAAATTGATTTGGCACAGGTCAAAGGCATCTACTGAGTATCGTTAGGTAAGTATTTTAATGCACTTTTAAATGAATGTTGTAACTTATGTTTATTAAAGGGCTTTTATTAACAATTTTATTGAATAGGGCAGATTGTACACACACTTCTATCTTGAACAAGAGGAATTTGGCTTCTTATTTATAACAAATTTACATGGTAAGAAAAAGAACAAGATTGGGTGTTTTTCCCACCTTCTTTCATTGAATCATCATTGAACTCACACCATATAACACTTTTTTATCAATTCCAACCCCTTTCTCACAGCCATTTTCATTGAAACGTTTGATGGAATGGAAAGAAGGCAAAAAGAAGGTAAGTCGAATAAAGGCTTTCGCACTATCATTGTTCTTTACCTGTCAATTTACTCATCCATCTCATTGACTCTTCCATCGATTTATGTGCTTTTATCATTTACAGCTACACATCTTACTCGACAAGGTAATATTACCTTGACAGCTGTCATACTGAATTATGTAAGTGTCTTCTGCTTCAATGGAATTGTTGATGGGGCTTGGCTTTCATACAATTGATGTTTCGATGCTTCATTATGTAGGATTTGGCTTGGGCAGGTTTCTTGCATATGATAGTCATGGTGTAATTTTGGGTCCCAGGACACTGCAGTATGACAGTGCTTGCGTAATGATTTTGTGCTTCTATCATGCAGAATTCTACATGATTCTTAGATTCTTTTGCATGTGGTTTTGTCAGTAACAGTAACATGAAAAAATAATAAACAGAAATAAATTCATGATCATAAGAGTTTGTCAAATAATATTATATATAATACAGAATAGTACTATATTGTGTAATATACTGTATATTCTAAAGTTGGTATTATAATAGTATTAATAATATAAACTATATGTTTATTTGTAATTTTCTTAGTATTTGCAATATAAATGAGTTGGTATATTCTTGTTATATAAGTTTAATTTGTTCTGCTTGTTTATTGCTTAGTATAAACCAGTATTCAAGATATTTGAAGGTTTATTAATTGGAATTGAAGTAAATATTAAGTTAATAAAAGATATTGTAATTAGTATAGAATTTATAATAAATACTGAATTGGATAGATTAACTTGAAGATAGCTATTTAGTAAAATAATTTTATAGTTTGTATAAGTTGTTCTATTTTGTTGTTAAATTAAGTTATCTATAGTATATCATCTATATAAACTAATACAAATATTGAGATACAAAGTTATTAGTTAATTGTAGAATATAAACCTGTTTGTATTTGATTAATAAAATACATCTAATAAAACTAGAAGTAACTTTGTTAGTTAGTAAATTATAGAATAGTTATCTCTCTATATAGTTACCTTCCATATAATCACATCATATATAATTATATTTATATTTAGGCTAAGCTATGATTTAATTTATAAAAAATAACTTTTCATATAAGCACTACTTCTTTATAAGCACACTATGTGTCCAATTGTGTGATTATAAGGACAACTATAAATCTTTTATAATAAAAAAATTATTGTTTCTTTTTAATTAATATTATTTTGAACTTAGTAAGTATTAGTAAGTCTTAGATTAGTTATTATAGTAATTAGAAGTAAATCAATAAGTGTTACAGCTGATGCTGAATATTATGTGAGAATTTGGACCAAAAATTGCAGATCACATATCGATCATAAAAATTCAAAACAAACATTTCTTTGTAAAAATCACTGATTTCTTAAAAATATTTATAAAAAACAACACTTTGTATACTAACTAAAAGTTTTCTTTGAGCGATTTTACTGTATAATCTACTAAACTCTAATGTTAATATAGACGATAACCCTAACACAAATGAACTTGAAGGACTTTGTCATTGGTTAGGGTTTGTTTTGATTTTTCTCTGATTGACATACGATTTGCAATTTCAGGTCCGAATTTTCATGTGATATTCAACATCAGCCAAATTCAGCATTAGTCATCACAATAAGTATATTAATGAGTTGCGAGAGTATATATAACTGCAAAAGAGATTTTATAAAAACAGAATTATATACTTTGCTCATATTCTGAAATATTAATAAAAGCTGTTTGAAGTTGCAAAATTTATCTTTAATAATATTATTAAGAATAAGTATAGAAATATTAATACTATTTTTAAATAATATAATATAATTATATGATAAAAGAATTTTATATTTGGTGAATATATAGCTAAACTAACTAGTTAATAATTTGATATATATTTTTTGATATGCTCTAGTAGGCTTATAGAGCTGGTATTAATTAGATTATTAACAAAGATAAGTTTTTAGAGATTGTAAAGATTTTGCTTTCTTTTTATTGTCTAAATATTTTGTTATTAGTGATATATTTATTAAATAAAGCTGTTGTTACAAGTGGACTGTAGCCTTCTTAATACAGCACAAATAACAAAGCACACAGCTATAGAGCTCTGTTGCGAGATTATAGCAGTGTGGAAGTGGAATGTTACTTCACTAAGGGCAGTTCGTGGAAAGTATATAGTTAAAGAAAGATATATTTTATTTACGGTATATAAGA